GATATAAGTATTCCATAACAGTTGAGATCCCTTCTTTTAGTCTTGCTGCCACTACCCCCGAGAGAATTTTATAGTCTGTGTTTAACAAAGTGATAAGTCTAAGGTTATTAATTATTCCTTTATCTTTGCCAGCTTTGGGAATTAGCATAATTAACCCTTCTTTCATGCTAGGAGTCAACATTTTTTTCTGTATACATACATTTACAGCTCTAAATAAAAGATTTTTTATATCATTCCAAAAGAATTTATAAAAATTGGATGTAAGACCATCAGTCCCTGGTGATTTATTTAACTGCATTTTAAAGATCACCGCCTCTAATTCCTCTGGTCCAAATTCTGATTCACACAGATTTCTAAATGACTCTTCAATTTGTGGGATGTTATTTTGTATTTTTTTCAAAGAGACCTTTAGAGTCTTCTAATGAAAAGTGAGTGGAATATAAATTAGAATAAAATTCAAAAATTTCTCTTTCTGTAGTCTTACTGTCATTGCATTCCTCATCATTTATCAACAAAGATGTTATTGAGTTTCTTTGCTGTCTGCTTTTTTCTAAGCGGCTGAAGTAAGAAGAATTCTTTTCTTCAGATTCGATCCATCTTGCTCTTGATCTAACATAAGCACCCTGTGCCCTTTGCAAATATAAAGCATCTAATTTAGTTTGTAAATCCATTAGATTCTGACTATTTGAGTCAGCGGAGTTACAAGTCTGATTGATTTCTCTAATTAAGTCGCATTCATATTGTGTCTCTTTCTTCTTAAGTTCTTTACAAAAACAAATGGTATCTAATCTAATTTTAAAAATTCCCATTTATTTATGTAATCTTTGAGTGGTCAGCTTCCACATCTTTAATAATTTTTCTAATTCTAGTACAATAATTCTTCATTGTCTAATAAGCTAGCATTAAATTTCCAATAACGTTTATGTTTTTTGTCTGAAAACTGGGTCCCATTATTAAACTTATAAAGCAATGATCAGATAACGGTGCTTTTGAGATTGTGGTTTTTGAGGTGAATAATAAAAGATCATCACTTATCAGCCAATAGTCGATTCTTGACCTACACTGTCSATTAGGTTTTATCCATGAATAGTCAGTTAGCCCTGGGTTCATTGTTCTCCAAACATCAGTTAAGTTGTTTTCCATCATAAATCTATTTATCAGGTCATTATATTGTTGCCTGTCTAACCTTGGAGGCCACCTATCCAACCATTCATTTGGCGTCATATTCCAATCCCCTCCTAAAATGATATAATCTGTGAGGTACTGTGTTTTAAATTCCAATATAACCTGAGATAAGTCATCCAGCAGGATTTTGTTTGACCTATCATTATTAAAACCACAAACATTAACTATGTTAAGAAACATTTTGTCAATTTTTAATCACCACTGT